ATTTTTCCCCCATTTTTCCATCGATTCTCCCGGGAATTTTTTTTGGGAATTCCGGGTGGTAACTTTGGGAATTTTTTTTGGGAATTCCAGGCGGGGCTCGGTGCAGCAGCTGCTCCAATCCTACCAGCGCCTGCCGGGCTCGGCGCTGCTCCGGGGGTTCCGTGTCAGCTACAAACGCCACGTGCTCACCATGGACGACCTGCAGACCCTCTACGGCCCCAACTGGCTCAACGACCAGGTTTGGGCCGAAATCCGGCGATTTTGGGCAATTTTGGAAAATTGGGAATTTTTTCGGATTTTTTTACGGGGTTTTTTTGCTGATTTTTTGCATTTTTTTGCGGATTTTTGGGGTTTTTGGGGATGGTTTGCAGACCCTCTACGGCCCCAACTGGCTCAACGACCAGGTTTGGGGTGAAATCCGGCGATTTTGGGCAATTTCCGAAAATTGGGAATTTTTTCGGATTTTTTTACGGGGTTTTTTTGCATTTTTTTGCATTTTTTTGCGGATATTTTGGGTTTTTGGGGATGGTTTGCAGACCCTCTACGGCCCCAACTGGCTCAACGACCAGGTTTGGGGTGAAATCCGGCGATTTTGGGCAATTTCCAAAAATTGGGAATTTTTTTGGATTTTTTTACGGGGGGTTTTTGCTGATTTTTTGCATTTTTTAGGGGATTTTTTGGGTTTTTGGGGATGGTTCGCAGCCCCTCTATGGCCCCAACTGGCTCAACGACCAGGTTTGGGGCGAAATCCGGCGATTTTGGGCAATTTCGGAAAATTGGGAATTTTTTTGCATTTTTTGGGAATTTTATGGGGATTTTTTGCTGATTTTTTGTGATTTTTTTTGCGGATTTTTCAGTTTTTCTTTCATTTTTCAGGGAAATTTTGGCGACTTTTGGAGAGATTTTGCAGGTTCAAGGAGGGTTTGGGGCAAAAACTGGGGATTTTGGGAAATTTTTGGGAATTTTTTGGGAAAACGTGGGAATTTTAAGGATTTTGGTGATTTTCAATGGATTTTTTGGGGTTTTTTTTCACGGATTTTTTGGGATTTTTTTCTGCGGTTTTCCAGGTGGATTTGGGGCCGTTTTGGGACATTCAAAGAGGTTTTCGGGAGATTTTGGGAATTTTTGAGATTTTTTGGAGGAACTTTTGGAATTTTTTGGGGATTTTTTGGGGATTATTTTGGAGTTTTTTTTTCTGGTGTTTTTTATGGATTTTTGGGGCGTTTTTTTCTGGATTTTTCGGGTTTTTTGGGGGGATTTTGCCCGGTTTTGGGGCACTTTGGGTGATTTCGGTGGGTTTAGTGTATTTTGGGATATTTTGGTGTATTTTTGGGTATTTTTGGATATTTTTGGGATTTTTTCAGGGGGTTTTTCTGGCATTTTTTCTGTCTTTTTGGGGCGTCTTTTTCCATATTTTTAGTTTTTTTCGGGGGGGGATTTTGTCCGGTTTTGGGGCACTTTGGGTGATTTTGGTGGGTTTTGGATATTTTGGTGTGGTTTTGGGAATTTTTGGAT